ACAAAACCAACATCAGCCGTTAGCTGTGAGCACTCACAACAACGGCCTATACAGACATAAATAAACCAGCGACTGTATTCGCCATGACACAGACAGTCTGTGGTTTGTACTTGTTTAACTTTTGTCTAGTTTCTGAACAGATATGAGGAGCTGTGAGCTCTGAGTGCAACAGCTAACGGCTGATGTTGATTTTGTGGTTCGCATTGAAGATGACCTCACGGCTCCGCCTACACTGCGTTACCATAATTACTGCCCCAGCTACTAATCTGTAATGGAAACGCAGCATAAAGTGAGCCTGGCCTACCAAGGCCTAACTATACCGTACTAAGCCGTGCGAGGCCCTGCACTGGAAATGCGCCATTAGAGAGCCAGAAAAACGGTGAAACAGTACCCGTTAGCCGGAACTACCCCTACTGGAAACGCAACAAAAAATGGTCTGGGTTTGGCACGGCACGCTTAAACCGTGCTACGCGCTGCAGTGGAAATGCGCCATTAGTATAAGAACATTAGACTTCGACCACTTAGGATTCAGGAAGTCTGAACTATTTCAAACCATTTTTTGTTATAGAGCACCTGTAATTTTATATAACTTTTTTTCCCCCCTAGACACATTCTTGGAAGACTTTTGTTGTGGGAGTAAATCCAAACTATTCCAAGTTCCCTCCCCCTCCAAGTCAACGTCCAGCTGTAGCCTGAATCCGTCGGACAGAGGCTCCACGGAGCCACCGCACAGGACAGACTCCAAGCCCGGGTCTGGAGACCCGGGAGGGGGTGGAGATGCAGGACCAGGTGCAGCAGATAAACTCCACCCTCCGCTCTTAGAAAACAAGAGTGTCCTGGAACTGAAGCGATCTCAGCAACACTACGGGCCCAGCAGCAACAACAGCCTCCCAGCTGCCAACAGTTACCCCCAAGGTACCCCCCCACCTTTCACAGCGACATCAAGAGGACAGACGCACTACGAGGGGTCTCACCACCTGTCCTCGCAGCAGATCCAGCCCCAGTTACCCCCTCAGCTCTCCTCCCCCCCTCACGCCGACACAGACTCTGCTCTCGAGGCGGCAGTCAACAGCATCTTGGAATGTTAGGACTGATATCATCCCTAATGTATCGTTTTTTCCCCTGTGTATCAATCTCCCCTGTTATATTTGTTGTACTCCCCCCACAATCTGTGTGAAGAGAGGTTTACTCTTTGTGATACCGTCTCCGGCCATGTAGCATGTATTTAGTTTGTCTTTATTCCCCGTTGTTTTTTTGGCGGGGCGTTTGAGGCATGAAAGCACTTCATATGACCTATGAACAACCGGGAATGTGTGCAATGCAATGTAGGTTCAGCCGGAAAAGGTTTTGATTACTTTTACATTTTAAGAGTCTGCAATTTCAGTAACTTGACTATAAGAGTCCCTCTCTTCACACACACCTTATTAATATTTTGTGCCAGTTAATCACCCCCCACTACCTATGCTGAAAAAGGAGGGACAAAATTACGACTTTGTGCCTAATTCTAGGTTTTTATTTTGAAGTGTTTACATGAAGGAGCTCTATTCAAAAATATCCACTGCTTCAGTTCCTGCATTACAAACATGCATACATGCTTATTACACCGTGTTAGGTAGATTCATGGTTCAGAGGTGTAGATTTCCTTAGGTAAGCTCAGTAGAGACACAATCACATAGACAAATTGCACTAAACATACTGTTGCTTATTTCAGGAACTGTATGAATATGTGGCTTGCTGATATAACGCTAGGCTAACTAGAATGTGAATATTTGGAACCAAAACCAAAATGTGTTCTCCTGCTTTCAGCTGCCTGCAACAAGGATAACCTCTCCATCACTCTATAAACCAGTCAAACTAGTCACATATAAACATGTATAGTAGTGTTACTGTACTCAGCAATGCTTTTTTTTCTTGTGCTCAAGTCACAGTTTATTTGGCATTTTTTTCTTTTGTACCTTAAAGGTATGCAAGCCCCGACACAGACACAGGACAAATACTCGATCTCAACCACTTTTATAATTCACAGCGTGTTTGTGTCAGGGGGAGTTTAGTCCTCAGATTGAGGAAGATGTCACGTTATGATTTTTTGTTATGTTTTTTATTTCCTATTTTTCTTAATTTTTTTAATGACATTAAAAAAAAGATGACTGTTTGTTGTTCCCCGGCTTCGTGAAGATGACAATATGGTCATTAGTTTATATGATCCTGAAGGGTCATTGATTGTACGTATGTTGATCTGCCTTCTGCATATAATTATATACTGATCATATCCAGCTATCTATGCTTTACAGTGACATGGCAGTGTGTGTGTGTGTGTGTGTGTGTGTGTGTTACTCTGGACACATACACACTGGTCTATGACTATATTTTTATGTATTTGGGTTGTTTGATTACCATACTCTTGACTTTATTCACGTTCACTCAGTCTCACAGGATGTTTTCATCACTTTCCAGTTGGTTTTAAAGCATTTCCTCTCTTTTACCCTCTCAGCAGCGCTACCAAAACTCGAAATAGGTTTGTCCAGAATCCCAGTCAGATCTTTACGTCTTTGTGTGTAATGGTTATGTCTTGATTCTTTTTTTGTAGTTTTTATAGTCCAAACTGAATTTATCATTCAATTTTATCATGCTGTAGTCAGAAATATTGACCAAGTATTTTTTTTTTAAGTGCATTTTTTTAGCAAACCTACAGAGATCTGCACTATAGTAGAAGCAAGACAAAGTAATTTACAAACCGACACAGCACCAAAGCTTGGTTAAACGCTGACTCTGGATAGTGTCACCTATCTGCCACAGGAGCAGACTGAAGGCCTTTTGCATGGGGGGGGGGTAGAGAACAAACGTCTTCTTATTTTTGTTTCTGAGTGCCAGTGGCCATCGCTGCAAGCCTGTATCTCTGCCTCAACCTTCTATATCTACCAGTTCACAATGACAAAAAACTCCCTCTTTGAAAGGAAATCTCTGTCATGTAAGATTTGCTTCTTTAAGTGGCTGCTGCAAGACTTTGTGCCTCTATAGCGCTCTACGGGAAAGTTAGTAAGAGCTGGTTCATGTTATCTGGATGCACTTCAGTGTCCGAGGGCCTGGTTGAAACATACTGTGCTTTTTCCTCCCGTTATGAGTTCAATGATGTTTTTCTTCCTTAATTTTCACTGTCGTTTTGTCTCACTTGATTTGTATAGTTTGTTGTTTTGTACAAAAATGAAAAGTGAAACACAACATATTTATAATTTTTGTATGGAGAAAAAAAAGAATGTAAAAAAAAAAACGAACAAAGTAAATGACAAAATGGAAATTATTTTTTATTGTGTTGGCTATGAAGTGGAGTCGAGAAAAATTGTTACAAAAATACTGTAATTTCTTCATTTGTAGCCAATGTGTGTTCACTACAGCAGCAAAGAGAGTCAACAATAAATTCATTTTGAATACAATAACAATACGCTGCAGTCCAGACCAGATCCTCCTTCAGCGTCCCTCCATTACTATTCTGTGAGTGTTCACATACAGGCACCGGCAGACTAAGCATGCATAATAACATGTGACAGGGAAGCATATCCAAAAGAAAAACACATTTGTTAGCCTAGATAAGATCTTTCAGCACATTCTGAAGTCAGGACATGTTCATTTTTGTCTGAATCTGCACTGCCATAGCAAGATTTTAATCAAGTTAAAACATCTCTTGGTTCCCTTTAATCCCCTCATGGACCCCAGCCCCATTGCCTCTGCACAAAGGAGCTAAGAAAACTCTGCAGAGCAAACATTTGACTGCCAAGCCCTTTTGGTTTTAGTAACAAAACACAACAATGACACCTAGTGGAGCCCTTTGGAACAACAGTGGGACTGAAACAATCACAATAAAAACGAATATTCAGTGGTTCTTTAGAACATTTTTCCTTCTCAAAGTAAAACAAGATACAAATTAAAATATATTTAAATAATACATATACACATATACAAGTAAATAAATAAATTTGATGCAGTGCACACAGCTTTCACTTCATATGAATCATGCAGGCGCAAAGTTGAATTAACTGCTACTGTCAGAATTACTACCCCTCAAGTTCTAAAGGAATAGTTATACATTTTAGATAAATAACGTATTCCCTTTCTGTTCAATAGTTAAATCAGATAATGAATACCTTATTCCTTCCCGTTTATAATATAAGGCTACGGACAGCAACTGGTTAGCTTAGCATAAAGCCTGGAAACAGCTAAATTGCCGTGACCGGAGGCATCAAGTTTTCTGGGTTGTCTGCCCCATACTCGTGAACCACATTATCTCAGGATAGCCTGGAGGGAATTCAAATTTAGCACAAAAGTCCACTTGACTCGAGGTGGAACTGATCAGAAGTTGAAGGTCAAAGGTGAAAGGTCACTGTGACCTTACAAAAGCCATTTGTGGACATAACTCAAAAAGTCATATGCTAATTATACACATTTCCCACAAATATCTAATACGATAAAATGAGGACATTTTGGAGGGACATTAATGCAACTGCAACTGGAGTGGTGGGAAAAGGCATACAGCCACACAACTGTTATTCTACGGATAAAACAAATTAGATAAAAAAATACAGGGTCGCTTTTAAAAGTGCTGGTAGGTAGATTAGCAATTTGAAAGAGCGAGGCTAGCGGTTTGTCCGTGTTTCAAGTCTTTATGCTAAGCTAACTAGCTGCTGTTTGTAGTTTCCTATCTAGGTGAGCTTCAATACATTAAATATGTGGACATGTTTGGATCTGGGCTAATTATATTACTATAAAGGGAATAGATGCCTAAAAAGTGCTGAACAAAGAAGAGGTTTTCTTATACAGAGTCACGCTTGTCCTAACATCCTCCCCTGACATTAGTGGTACTTCCTCCTGCGATCTCGCTCTGGAAAAAAGAAATAACATTCATGAACAAGCTCAGATAAAATATATCAAAATATATGTAGCCCATTACATAAAGCAACAATGAGAGAAATCTTCACACTTACTTATATGAGAGTAACTCCAGATGTAGCTGATAGCACAGTATCCTGCTAACAACATGCTCAGGCCACCTATTCCACCTTTCTTTACTTCAAAATACTTCTTGTTATACCACTGCCAGCCTGATGGAAGCACAGAAGAGGAGAGGAGATATAAACATGCAGACCTTATACAAAGAGTGATGCCCGGTGAGTGAGCTGGACACATTCTGAATAAAGCAGTTTCGTAGTAAAATTAAGTTTTTCCCTGATGCTGCCAATAATTTTCGGTCAGTTTGTTTCTCTGATAACTGCAGATCAAGAAGTCTAATGACTACAATCCTTCATCCAGGAAAAACAAATAATTATAAAAGAGCAAAATAAAAGTGGGCTGTTCAATTCTGACATAAAAGTGGATAAAAAGTCAGTTTAATATTGCTTCTGGCAGACAATCACCTCCCTCACACCTTCTTAAAAGGAGATTGTGCACTGAAAAAATGAAACATTGACTTTGATTAAATGTAATATGTCAAAAGGTTCCACATAATTGTGTTAGGTTAGTTGAAGACAATAGTATTAAGTTGAACCTATTATTTGTTATTTAAACGTAATACTATTGCTTTAAACTCATCTTATACAATTATTTGTATTTCTTTTACAAAATACATTTATTTAAGTCAACGTATGAACATTTCTTCAGTGTAGGTGACCAAATGCCTTTTATCTTGTTTAAAATGACAGATTTCTCAAAGAAACACTCTGTATAATACGGGTAGATACATAAATAAAAGACCAAAAAAACACAGTACATTTACTGGTCTGTTCTATGTGCATTACTTATTTGTATGTGTTGGATGTGTGTGTTAGTCACCTCCTTGCACCATTTTCACTACATCTTTAGGATGGCTGGGGGTTTTGTAGGCCAGCCACTGAGGCAACTCCCTCAGTCTCACCTGTCCAAGACTCCGCTCTGTCAGAGCACCTACACAATTAAGACATAAGAAAAACAGATGAATACACTCTGAAGATAAACAAAGTATAAATAACCATTTGTCAAAATCTAAAAAAAATCGAACTTGGTAGAAGTAAACAAGAACACTTTAAAGGGATAGTTTGTGTTTTTTGAAGTGGGTGGTATGAGGTACTTCATCTATATGTATTAACTATCGATGATGTACTGGTACTGAAACTAAGCATGGTACTAATGTAGAAGGGGCAAAAGCTACACTTATTTTAGCCATCTGAAAAAATAACAATATTAGTTGGATTTTACGCTACATTTACAATATTTTGACAGCATTACCTTGCTGTCAAACATCGCTTGCCAACAAGGACAGTATCTATTCTCTCTTTATAGCCACCAGACCACAGGTGTTATTCTACGGCTGCCTTGATTGGTTAAATAGTTTGTGTTATTGTGTGACTTTAGTGAATGCTAACTAACCACCATAAACATGGATATTATGCACCTCATACAACCCCCTGCAATTATGAAAATGATGCCTTTAAGATTAATTTCAGTCCGTAGTGTGGAGGTCTTTTGCCCAGCTGCCAAACACACACCTTTAGTACCATCAGCAGTGTTTTGGTTCCTGACCTCGTGCCTCATCTTCAACCCATCATCAGCTCTCGATGTGTCACACCTCAGTGCCGTCAGAGGGCAGGAAAATCTTGTGAGTGATGATGATATTGTGATGAGTCCTGGAACCTTCATCCCCTCATGCATGCCGACAGTACGTGGAGGGGACGTGTCCTTGCTCGTCTGAGACGGTAGAGGGCCACTAGAGAGGGGAGCTGCAGGGGGGGTTAGCACTAACTGTTGCAGGGGGATTAGTGATAATTGTTTAGACTTTGAACTTATTCTCATAACTGATTGCAGCTCTGTATGTTGTGCAGGGGTGCAAGGTGGCTGGTCTGACAGGGTATTAATTGTAACCAAGCAGCTGTCTTTATTCCCTGTTGGGAGAGGGACTGCACTGAGACTGATTTTGCTGCTCAGATCATCCGCAGTATCAATCTGGCTCAGTATGCTTGCGGTTCTGGACTGACGGGCCACGTTATCTCGGCCTAAAATGGCTCTAACTCCCTGGAGGGTTATCCTGGCCTGGTGACCGCTTTCTGATTTCAAGAACATCTCATTTTCAGATAAATCCTCCACTTTCTTTTCAGTGTCCACCCAGACGTTGTCTCTGACATCTTTAGAGCCCAGAGAGGTAGAGGCATCTTTTGCTGTAGAAAAGGATTGTGCAGCTGCCTTTTTCGTCTTTGACTTCTTGGCTTTAGTGGGTTTGGCCCCGTCTTTTATTGAGTTTTTGTCAGGATTAGTTTTGGGCAGGTCCTCCGAAGCAGATCTGGTCCCCTCCAGTGGGCCCTTAGAAACCTGTTTGGATTTTTCCGCTTCTATCAAAGCTCGGAGAATCTGCTTTTTGGGTTTAGAGATAGTGGAAGGTTGCAATGGGGAGATAATGGAGTTGGTTGTAGATGAGGGAAAGTTGGCTGTTTGTTCGGACAGCTTCTGTTTCTTCTTCTTAGCTGATGTTGGAAGTGACGCAGAACTCGGGGCCGATGGCTTTGTTGTTTCTGCTGCTGATGCCAGAGACATCTTATTACTCTTCTTTGATCGTGGACTTGTTTCTTTTGACAATGTCTGTGTCGAGTCTGCTGTTGGTTTGAACACATTTGCAGTGAGCTGAGAAGACGATGTTGTCTGATTCCCCGGGACATCGTGTTTGGTTGGAGGGGTTTTGGAGCTTGCTGCTGCCTTACAATGTGGGAGATGACTCTTCAACCTTTTGTAAGCTTTCCCGCAGAATGGGCACACCTCTGAGGGGAAAAATGGCAAAACACAAAGTAGACTAACACTTCGACATTTAGATCATGTCTAAATGTAAATGTATTTACTTTATCTAAATTCTCTGCTGATCATTTTCATGATAAATCAATAATATAATATAAGGTGATATTTTCAAATTGCCTGATTTGACAAATGCTTTCTCTAACTGTAAGATATTTTACTTTTACTGGTATACACATTTCAAACATCAACATTGCACATTTGAAAAGATGGAACCAAAAATCCTTTGAAATGTTGTTTGGACATTTCCTGGTAAATTATCAAATCTGTTGTGGATTGGTTTTGTAAAGTAGAACATAGAAAATGTGTCCACATTTAACATTTCACTTTAGTACACCTTTTTCATTACTTTTAACAGAGTATTTGTACACTATAGCCTAATATTGCAACCTTTCCTTAAGTACAATGTGAATACTTCTTCCACCACTGCTATATGGGCTGACCTTGAAGGAAAAGTACTTACAGTACAGGCTCTTCTACTTCAGGCTGTATTTCCTTACTAAGCAGGGCAGGGAGTCCCAATCAAAAATAATAGGCTAATACAACCACATGTAATTTCTGTTGTCATTAGGTCACGTGGTGACTGCTTTTGTGAATCACACAACAATTTTATGCGATTATGACACTTACCAGAGCTCATTTTGCACGCGTTTGTCAACACAGCCAATCAGGTCTCAGCATGTTCGAAGAAGTTACAACGAAAGAAGTTGTAAAAGCGTGAAAGAAAAATGTAAAGTGACAAATATGATCGCATTCACGCAAAGTGCCAACCTGTAAACACATTTCACATGTTGCGTTTACACGGAAGGACCCTTTAGGTAGCGCGCTAGGAGCCTGACTGTAAATGGTTACAAAGGGAGAAAATAAATAAGGTATTCATAAGGACCGGGTTAAAAAGGGTTATTTGATATATAACATTTGATGAAATACAACTGCGCATTAGTCTGTTCAGTGGGTGTGGTGCATCGACACAATTGAGATTATTCACTTCCGGTTTAGCATTAATCCCTGAAGTAACCGCTTCTCATTGTTTAAATTGTCCACAGGTGTACTGGCGATATGATTTGGCAGAACAAGAATTGTATTTACTTTAGTTGTTTTGGCTAACAGTAGACTGCTAGAACCGTTTTCTTACTCAGACTAAGTTAGGATGTTTATTCACAAAACCCTCTACACAAGGTCAATTTAGTTTAATACGCTAGTTCAGGCTTATTGTATGACATTATTTCGCAGATACAGTTGCTCATCTTTCAAAAATAGTAAATCAAGTAGTATTTTTATTAAGTAGGCATGAAACAATGATTGACTTTCATTTTAGAGATGTATATTTTGTGTTAACAATAAAATACAAAGAAATAGATTTGTAATTGCAAGTTTTAGAGGAGATTTATAACACTAAAACAAGGTAGGCTACTTAACATGCATTTGTATAATTAAAAGGGAGTAAAAGACTCAGCGCTTTTGAAACAGAGGGTTTTATGGGATGCTACATTGCTACATCTGTTGGGTATTTCAAGCTAAACATTTCAGAGACATGTTTTGTAAATATCTGAGACCTATTATATATTATTGAAAAACATTATAATAGGGGACCTTTAAGATAAAATAACAGTAGTTGTAAAAAGACGATATAAACGTCTGTTTTGGGCCCATGTTAATACTTAACTATACAAAATTAAGAGGAAAAAAACCACCCCACTCTCATTAGAAAAGTGTATTTTATTGATAGGGTTAGAGTGGCATGAGACTTGGCACAGGGATGAATTTTAAGGTGAGGAAAAAAGATTACACAAAAATACATCTAAATCATAAAAAGGTCATCTTCATTGGAAAAGCAGTCATTTGAAACACATTCAGAATGGAAAAGAATACTCAATTTCTACAACCATTTACATATACAGAGATAAACCTGAATATTATTTACATGGCAAGAGATTACAGTATATACAAAGCCAGAACTGGAAGCAAACTAAAGCTCACAGCAGCTTTATTCTGGGAGAAAAAACTAGACACTGTTGATGTTAAAGCATAGGGTGATTTGGCAGGAAAAAAACATTTTAATAAAAAACACTGGCTCCCTACAGAATAGACTTGACCTAAGTATTCAACTCTAATAACAAATTCAAAAATGTTTTTTAAAGGGGACTTCTAAATGAGACAAAATGGCTTGTGGCATATAATCAAATCTTCAAGGTTTTTAACAAAGATGACTTGAGACGCAACTCTGTCAGTTACACCTTACTATTACAATGATGGTTACAGTATTATCATAAAATCTAGAGCAAATCTCTGTACATCTATTAACAGACATTTATCATCCAGGAAAACAGGGGAGGTCTGTCCCTTTACAAGGCATCTAATCGGAGATGGAAAGAAAATAAGGAGAGAAAAGGGGGGATTCTGGGTCAACATTCAGGGGTCAAAGCCATGAGGATACAGTACCAACAACCACCCAGCTAACTGTACTCAGAACTGGCCGAGTCTCACCGCTCTGCCACCCAGATAAAGATTCAATTATTCAGTTAGTTCACCAACAACAACATCAGCATTAAACGCTGGTTCTGATTCAAACCTGAGAAAACAGTGGACTGCATGTTCACTTGCTGACACACCTGCCTAATGTGCCATTTAAGGTAATGTTGTCCTAAACAACTAAAAAACAGAAGGACATGAAAACTTGCGTCTTAATTATCCGTCAAAGGCAGCTAGGATTGGCTTTTAACTCTATTGAGGCACAAATGCAGGATATAAACAGTGATTAGGTCTACAGAAGACATTATATGGAAAGGTTCAGTCTTGTGGTCATTTTATAGCATTTTTCAAGACAAGGTGCCAGTGCTGGAGCCATTTCCAACATCAAATATTGAACCGTTCTGAGCCGCTTTCACCATAAAAAAAAATGTGTCCTTCTCTCTGCAAAAATGGCCCTGTGACGGCACGCTTAGCCTGCTGATCTCAGGCCTGGATAAGTAATGACTGGGACGGGAGAAGAATGCTGAAATATGTTGAAAATAAAAAAGGACAGTTTTGCAGTCTCCTGATCAGTTGGCAAACCCTTCTACAAACTATAGGGGCTTTGAAACAATGTCCAAGATGCAGTACTGGAGGTTGCGGCAGAAATAATGGACTGATTTTGGAATAGTTTAAATTCAGTGCTTGGACACAGACTGGCATTATAACACAGGGACAGCTGAGCTTGATGCATTTTGACCATCTAACTGTCATTTGCATACATGTTTAAATATTCGTTCTTGTATTTGTCGTTTGGCAGGTTGTGTATCTGGTTGAGAGGCCATGTGCCCGCTTTGTTCAAAGTTTCCACATCCAGGCGCTGGCACCATCACCGGCACCTTGTTAGTAGAAAAGCCGCAGCGAGTCTTTGTGCTGGAAGGCAGCGCTCAGGCCAGAGGAGAGACTCTCCAAATGAAGCAGCACAAGATCAGATGTTATCTAATCGGCATGCTTATAACCACAGACAGTCTGCCCTACTGACTCGCTCCCATACCAAACTAACAAGAAGGCTAACTCTTCGAAGAGGAGAGTAAAAACTAATATAAAAACGGCTGAAGAAGAACGCTGACGTCTATCGGATTTTTCTGAGGCTGGTCTCTCCCGAGTGCCCGTCGAGGAGGAGCACAGGGCGGGTTTGTCTATTTTTTCACAGGTTGACAGGGGTCATTGGAGCATGAGCTGCTTGAGGTTGTCGTGCAGGATGGTGTCCTTGACGTCCCGGAACACCAGCCTGATGTTCTCCGTGTTGATGGCCGTGGTGAAGTGGTGGTACAGGGGCTTCACGGTGGCGTCGCGTCTCTTGGCCCGGAAGCACTCCACCATGAACGCCTGGACGTCCGGCAGGTTGTGCTCCTGCCCAGTGTACTCGGGAAAGTAGTCCTTGAGCGCAACGCTCTTCACCTTCTCCTCCAGCAGGTCTGTCTTGTTGAGGAAGAGGATGATGGAGACGCTGATGAAGACGCGGTTGTTGACGATGGTCTCGAAGATGTCTAGTGATTCACGCAGCCGGTTGGTCTGCCTGTCCTCCATCAGCACCTGTAAACGGCAACGGTGGGGGTTGAATACAATTATACAGATAGTACTGTTTTGATTGGTACTAGATTTTATTATTATTATTATTATTATTATTATGTTATCAAGTAGTTAAACTGATTGGCTGCGAGGATTCTCTGGCAGAAAAAAACCAGAAGAAGCTAAACTATCCCCAACTTATAGCTAGCCGCACTTTGCTTTTATGCTACGACAGAATTGCTTTCAGGGGACAATAAAGCTGATTGAAGTGAATAATAAACACATTTAAGAAATTCAATCAAAGAATGTTTCCAATGCGTTTATTGCAAAAGATGTAGATTGACTAATATATCGTTTTCAATGGCTCAAACTTATCTCCTTATCTCCTCTAACATAGGTCACACCTTGAAAAGAAACATCTTTAATGGATACATTTTTCAAAATAGATGTTAAAAACAGTACTGCTACAAAGAAAAGATAAATAAATTGCAAAAATGTTTTCCTGTGTTTATTTCTTGTGTTTCCCCACGACTGCACCATCCCCCTAAAACTGAGCTTCACATCAAGCTGAGAGTTTGTGCAACCTTACTATACAACGGTCAACACAATAAATCATTTACTGAATCTGATTTACACTAACATTTAGACTTGTATGAATCACAACAGCTCAACCGAATACGAGTGGGTATATAAACAAAGACTTATCAAAAAGTCACTACACATTATCTGCCTGAACAAACTCATTCATGTTTCACTTATCAGGCTATCAGTGTGTGTGCTTGCTTGTGTACCAAAGATGCCAAGGCCAGCCTTTGAAAACAGTGGTGTGTTTTTTTTTTCTTCACCTGGTCATATTCAGAGGAGGAGACGAGGAAGAGGATGGAGGTGACCGAGTCGAAACACTCGAACCAGCGCCTACGCTCTGACCGCTGCCCCCCCACGTCCACCATCTTGAAGGGAACGCTCTTGATCTCAAAGTCATACTCGTGGATTCCCTTGGTGGGTTTACGAGCCAGCAGGATGTCCTGCTGAGTGGGGAGATAGTCCTGCAGGGGAGAAAACACACCAATGAATACCAGCATGTATATCATGTATTTATTTATTTATATATAACATCTCACGATGAAAACAAAAATTGTGCTAGTGCACTAAGAAGAATTAGACGTATAACAATTAAAAGTAGAGACATTTTTGTTTTGTATTTCATTTCTAGGACTTTAAATCAGAAGATCTTTTTTTATAGAACATTACTTCACATCCTGAGGTAACATTTTATGAAAACTTATAATATAAGGTGAATATTTGCTAAAGAAAATCCTTATTTTAGCTTCTTCAAAATGTTGATTTTGGGCAGCAATTGGAGGGAAATAAAACTAAAAAGAGCAATATAATGCAGATATTAGAGAGCGGTTTATGACCTGTTAATAAGTCTGCAAACAGGAATAAAGGAGTGTATCTTGACAGTAGATACACATTTATTGTTTACTGTAGTGTTGAAGTGGGTATCAAGTATCAAGGAATTTCCCTGGTATTGGTATCAATATGCCGTCCCCATTTCCCAGCAGGATATAACACTAAGCAATATCATTAACTAAATGTATGCTGGATCCAGATAAGCATATGTACTGTCCATCTAACTGTAGCATCTTTGGCTAAATGTCTGCGTTATCTTTGTCGTCATCTACCCTTAAATTGTACACGTCTGAATATAACAATCAGTGCAGAAAGAAACAACTTACCGGCTCGCCAAGCTTATCCAGATTATCCAAGAAATACTTCACTGACTCACCCTGCGACAGGACACAGGAGGAGTTTCTGTTAATTCTACACCAATTATTAGATTCAGTTCTTTTAAAATCATAAACAGCACAGTTAACATACCAACTATAACTATTGCATTCAATAAATGACATGTTGTACACACACACACACACACACACACACACACACACACACACACACACACACACACACACACACACACACACACACACACACACACACACAGAAGCCAAAGCAGGATGCCAAGTTTTTGGTATTGCAGTAGACACACGTTGCAAGCATGTCTTTGATGTGTACTGAAGTGTGGCTACATCTGCATGTGTGGCCGTGTTTGACTCATGTTGTGGGGACATGAGTCTGTTTACTCAGTCACATTGTGGGGACCGGGCTTCCTTTTGGGGACAAAATGTAATTCCCCACCACGGTAGATTTGAGTGTTAAGTCTTAGGGCAGGGTTCTGGTTAAGGTAAGAGTAAGTCCAGAGGAAATTAATGTCAGTCCTGTTATGTCCTTGAAAGTGATGGAAACATCACTGTGTGTGTGTGTGTGTGTGTGTGTGTGTGTGTGTGTGTGTGTGGGGGTGTTTTTTTCTTACACTGTTCATGCGCAATTAGTGCAAGCCCAGGCATGAGGCTGCCAAGACTGGGATGCATTCCTTTATCTGTGTGTGTGTGTGAGTGTATCCTCAACATAAACCAAAAATCTGCAAAAAGCATAGCAGATTTTCCTGGCCATATCTCCTGTGACCTACAACGTCTCCATTATGCCACCACGCATCATCAGGGGATTGTTTTGCATGTATTTTGCATTAGTGACGCAGTAAACAAACACCCGTGCTCTAAAATTCAAATGTTATCAGAAATAGTGATTATTTATGTTGTAATTGTCAGTTTTAGCACCAGCCATTCCCCTCCTGAAAGCTCCTGTACTAACCTTCTGATCTTTTAAAAAACTAACCTGACCAGAAAAACCTGTGTGTGCGCGCGCACGCATGCAAAGTGTGTGCAGGGCTAGTATTACAAGAGGAAGGAGCAGAGTGGCGTGGTGCTACGCTAACGCTGAAAGAAAGAAGAGTTCTGTTAGGGTCAATTCTGATTCTTGCAACATTTCAGGCTTTGCCACGAGTTAAAAAGCTCAAATCTGACGAGGACAGGTGGTTTTGAAATAGTCATAAATCAGTCCGATAATACAAAATAAAAAGGAGAAAAGAAACAAGTAGAGCAAATCACTCAGTTTCTGTTCATTTGAAAGCATGACCACGCCGGCAGTTTAGACAAGAGCGCTGAGAAAGCAAAACTGAAACATAAGAATACCTAGCAATGTCAGCGTGTCATTTGAATCGTAGTCACTTTTTTCACAAGCATGTGTTGCTAGATTTATATATATTAAAAAAAACGAGACGCAAATGTTTATGGGTGGTTCTAAAGAGCAGCTCTGTGAACTTTGTACTCAGCAAAGCGAGGAGGATATGTGAGTTTCAGCCTGTGCATGCGTTTTCCATGATAATTAACAAGCGAGCCTGGGGGCACGGTTGATTTGTGATGCAAATACTTAAAAAAGGCCTGGTCAAAACACAATGGGTTCTATCTGCTGGCAGAAAAACAAATTAGCCCTCGCAAACAAGGGCTGGGAACATGTAAATATCTTGCCACACAGCAAGTCTTCAGCTGCTGCCTCTGGGTCTCCAGCGTCTGAATGGGAGAGTGATGCGCTCAGATTTGAGTTTTAATTAAGACCGAATATCAATGTTTTATACAACAATATCATCTTCACTTTATATGGTAACTATTTGTTATGATAATTGATGAGACATTTGTCTGGGAAAAATTCAGAAAATAGTTTGGAATGTGTTTTCTTCAAAGGAAGGAGGGCAGGGTATATGCAGGAATCCTGAAGTCAAATGTAATTCCTTTTAAGACCTTTTTTAAGACCCTTTATACATTTTAAGACCTCATCGCCACTTTGAGTTTTAACCGGTTACATTGGCGACACACTTTACCTCACATTGACTATATAAGGTATTGATTGTCCTTCCTCCTTATCTTCCAACCATTTGGACGCAAACTTGCATTTCCCCATAACGATGTTTAACAACCGGCGTAAACGGACCTTTGCGCGCTATCAAGCAGTGAGCGCGCAATGTCCTGTTCAGATGACGTCAAATCCAACGGGATGCCATAAATAAACTACAAAGAATCACACTACACACACACAATGATTACATTCAGGCAGACTGTAGAATATAACCTCTTTGGTTGATATATTTGAATTTTAATTGATATACTTATTAAAAACAAGCTACAAAATGTAATACCTTGGAAAACGCCGTTTAATACTTTTTAATAGCCTTAATTTTCACTAAATTGATTTATCAACTTTTAATACTTTTTAAGACCCCGTGGACACCCTCTACTGGGACATGATTCCATGCTTTAATTTTTAAAAAGCTCTTTATTTTTCTCATACAGCCTGTGCCGAGTCTGCTCAGATTGGTTAGCTCTGTTCCGATTGGTCGATCGCTTAGAGATGTCCCGCCCCTAAGCATATCACGTATGTGTTGGAACGGCTAGCCAATAGAAGCTTGATTGTTTCATAAAGATGTCACTTGTTACAGAAGTAAACAAAGGAGTCCAATGGAAGCTTCTTTGGGACAAAAACCTATATAATGCTGCAGGAGAGGAAAACCCCTTTATAGGGCCCCTTTAAAGTATCCCTCCCCCCCCACCCCCCGCCCATCACATCAGCTCTACCTCTCTGTGACAGCAGGATACCAAATGCGTTTTATTGACTGCCATTTTGGGAAACCCTATAAAAATGGCATTACCTTTACGGTCTTCTCCAATAACCATTTATCAACTTGAGGGCCCTTTATTTGGGAAGCTACAGCATATTTCAAATAAAAAGAAAAGAGATATCTCATAACTGTCTCCTTGGAATAAGCTGTAATATCTATATATATATAAATACTCTGACATCTGGGAAGATAAGAGTAATGTTCGAACAGGGAGGGTGGCCAGAAGCAGCAATCCTACCCGGGACAACCTTCCCCGAACCGCTGGACTGTGGCCTGGGTTTAAAAAGACCAGATGTTAGCCCGAGCAGCAGGGCTCATCGGCTCGCATTTTAACGACCCACTCAGCGGCTTAATTGCTAAGGTGGCTTGGTATTGTTGAGTTAGAGTGGGAGTGGGAAAATTATTATAATTTTTTAACGCAGAGTTTACGAGCAACAAAGGGAAGGTAACGAGGGATAAATGAGAGGAAGGAAAAAGCGTAGAGAGGTAAAGGTCTTACCGAAGAGCTGTGTGGGGTTCGTGTTGCTTGTGGCTTTCTCATAGTTGGTAAGCCCCTCGTAGATGACCTTGCCCACAGCAGCGTACAGACACTCCAACTCCTCATACTTAGATGCCACTGTTGACGTGCCTAGAAGGAGAGAGCAGTGTGTGAAAATCAGAGAATGTAAATCAATCAATGGTCCACATATTTCCACACATCTTTCATAAACACAGAAGAGACTTTGTTAAGATGCGTTCACACCAGTGGCGAACCGTCAGGGCCTTCAAGGTATTCAGAGAATACCCTGGAACACTCAGATACATTTTTTTTTAAAAATCGATTTAATTACCGTAATTTCCGGACTATAAGGCGCACCTGAATATAAGCCGCAGCAGCTAAATTGAATGATGTGTACATATATAAGCCGCACTGGACTATAAGCCGCAGGTGTTTTAATGTTTAATTACCATATGTAAGAGTTCGTGCACAGAGGGGATTGTCGGGAAAGAGATGGCTGTTTGAGGAAGCTCCCATTTATTAACATTTCAACAAACAAGTTGCATATTTGCATAACGTATTCAAGTGTTAGCATTTAGTGCAATAGTAGCTACAGAACATGCACTGTGCTGTGTAAACTGTACTGTATCACATAGCGTTTCAGACACACAAACTTTTCAACTTTCAAACTTAAACGGTGCGCTCCCAGCGCACGTACCGGCAGTGATCTACAGCAGTGGTTTTCAACCAGTGGTACGGGGACAAACTGTCTCGCTCTCGTAATGTCTGTCTGTCTTGCTCTCGTTCTGTCTCTCGTACCACTCTCGGTTCCACTTTTACTTTTGCGNGACTACAAATCCCAGAATCCCGGTCCCGCATGCTGGCTCTCACGGAACTGTACAAGTCTGGGCATGTTGAGAGCTGTACATACACAAAAGGGGAGTTAGTCAGTTCCGTGAGAGCCAGCATGCGGGACCGGGATTCTGGGATTTGTAGTCTTTATAGTTGCATATTTTTCATAGTCTTATATTTCAACAGTTTTTATTTAAGATTGACAAACATCATATGTGTAATTCGTGGCATAATTCAAACGGGATCGAAAGATAATCTTTCTCTCTCCCTTGACTTCAATACAAACATTTTGCGAAATAAGGTCCCATGAGTCCCACCGGAAGGGGAGGGACTTCGCCTCTCTATAGTGAACTCCAGCTTTGTCAGTGTTAAATGTGTAAGTTAAATGTATACTTCAGTTTTAATCAGTTTAAATGAAGATAAAGAAATTAGACAACTGGCTGTTTGTAAATTAAAAGATATAAAGACATGCACAATATGTAACATTTGTAAAGACAACCTTTACCACATAGGCTACAGTTCAAATGTGAGCATAGTGAGGAGAAGCACTACCCATGTTGGAAACAGTAAAAACTGACAGGCCAGCCAGTGCAAATATCACAATTGGTGGTTTATTACCAAGGGGTTTAATGTACACTGTAATATGAATCCATAGAAAAAGCTATTGATTCATGTACAAATTACAAATACAGTTGTTTTCTCCACTCTTTTGTTTAAATGTACACAAGTTTCTTCTCTCCCATCGCTGTCCCATAGCAGCTTTACAACCTGGCAAGACTTTGCAGTAAAACGAAAAGTACGAAAAATAAAAATGCATTTCAGTCAGTTCAACATACGAAGGAATGGAAAAGAAAAAGCAGGAAAGCCTTTTAGTTCTTAGTAAGAATCTTACAAAACAAAGACTAATGGCGCATTTCCACTACACGGTATGGCTAGGCCTTGTTAGGACTGGCTCACTTTATGGCGCATTTCCATTACAGTTTAGGAACTGGGGTAGTATCTATAGTAACGCAGTGTAGGCG